CACAAAGACTTGCACATAAATGTGCCCAGCAGCATAATGTACCATAACCCCAAATGGAAACAACCCAAGTGTGTTCATTAGCTGGTAAGTGGATAAATAGACTATGTGTGTCGATCTTATAATGGAATATTACAGAGCAATAAAAAGGAATGAAATTCTGATATATGCTGTAACCTGGATGAACCTTGAAGACAGGATTCTATGTGGATGGAGTCAGTCACAAAAGATCATGTATTATACGAGTCCATGTAAACAAAATGTGCAAAGAAGACAAAGATACTGAGATAGGAAGCAGATCAGAGGCTGCCAGAGCTGGTGGTAGGAATCAGAATCACCACAAATGGGCAAGAGGTTTCTTTTGGGGTGATGAAAATGTTTCAAAACTAGATTGTGGTGAAGTATACACAACTCTGTAAACTTATCATAAATCACTGCATTGTACCCTTAAAGTGGGCAAATTTTACAACAGGTAAATTAAACCCCAAGCTATTTTTTCAAAATGGGGTTTGACTCTCTAACTTCAGAGGATTGCTATGAGGATTAACTGAGACAACACGTGTAAGGCAGGTGCCTGGTACAAAGTCAGCACCTGATAAATAATAACAACAATCAGAACATACAACAATAATAGATTACGTAAATGTAGAATAACAACAACTTGTGTCAGTTATAAAGTTCTTATCATACCACTCCACACTTAGCAACCCAATTTAACTCTCAACAGCTTTATGAAGCAGGTGTATCACCACCCTCATTTTTACAGATGGGGAAACTGAGGCACCAAAAAGCTAAGTTGCTATCCCAAGGTTGCCCAGCTAGTAAATGGTAGAGCTGGGATTTGAAGCCTGGAGGGTGAACGGCAGTGTCTATGCTCCCAGTTGGGACACTACACTGTCTCTCAGTAAAGGCCAGCTATGTACTAAGTCGCTACTCTAACTAGTGATGGGGGGGTGCAGAAAAGTCTCACCGAGTTCCCCAGAGGAGAGCACACCAGGTCCAAACCTGAAGGGTTAAAGAAGTTAGTCGGGGGCAGAGTGTTCCAGACAGAGGGAACTGTACATCCAAGGTGGTAGGGGAGGGAGGGCAGGGCATTTGGGAGGAGCCAAGAGGACCTGGAGCTGGCTAGAGTAGTGAGGGCGGAACTCAGGCAGGTCCTGGGCAAGGACATTAGTCTGAAGGCTACGCAGGACCAGAGGAAGAAATTCAGACTTCCCAGCCTGCCTTTCTCTGGGAACAACTCACATTCCTCAGGCAGGTGGGGAAGGTTGACTCAGAGGCTGCTGTGAGCTCAGACTAGTGGGGGAACTGCCGCCCCACGCTCCCGCCTCCCAATGAGCTAACACCCCTGCATCCTCCCCAACGCCAGCTCTACCAGCAAGCAGAAGCTGTTCCCAGCCGGGCTCTGTCGTGCTGCCAGGCTGAGCATAGCCCAGCGAGGCGGAGAATGGACTGATAGCGGCCTCACACTCCCTCCAACCCAAGCTGCTGGCAGACCCCAGGGGCACCTCTTCCCCCACACCCACAGCCTGCCTCGGAGCACAGTGCTCTGGCCCCCCCACCCTCACTCAGCTTGCCCCAGTGCCAAGGGGATGAGCCCAAAGGGCCTAGCTCTTTTCTCATTTAAATTTAATACTTTTTGATCCATTTCTTCCATTTTTCTACATATGCCCTAGATAAACATTTACACATGTGTGCACACAACATTCACTGTGGCAAAAGCAAAACAACTGGGGAAACCTACATCAGTGAGGAACTAGTTCAAAAATTATGGTGAATCCATATTACAGAATATTACACGATAGTTACAAGAATGGCACAGGTCTATTGCCCTGTACATTCTCTGGCATGAAAATATCTCCAAGATGTTATTGAGTGGAAAAAAGAAAATTGCAGAATAATGTATTCAGGACATCATCACTTATGTAAAAATTTTTTTTAAAAACTGGCTCTATATTTTTCTAAGTCCACAAGTGTAAAATGAAATGCAAATGTAAAGGAGAAAAATGCCTGGAAAGAAACACATCAAACTAACAACAGTAGCGATGGATGGATGGAAGGAGGAAGAGAGGGAGGGAGAGAGGGAGGGAGAGAGGG